TTCAAGGTGATCTATAGATAAATATATTTATGGTTAGCAGGAACTAGAAACAAAGGAAATGGAGTGTGATTTACAATAAGATATTTTTGAAACATACAAATTTTCTGAAGTTTGATAATGGTGATGTTTATGCAACTATGTAAATATACTGAAACTCATGAAATGTTTCAAATAGGCAATTTTTTTCTTCTGTTTTATTTTTATTAATTTTTTAATTTTTTAAAATTTTAATTTGTTATATATGAAAACAGAATGCATTACAATTCATATTACACATATACAGCATAATTTTTTATATCTCTAGTTGTACATAAAGTAGAGTCACATTCTTCATGTCTTCATACATGTACTTAGGGTAATGATGACCATCACATTCCACTGTCTTTTCTATCCCTATGACCCCTCTCTTTCCCTCCCTCTCCTTTTCCCCTTTGCCCTATCTAGAGTTCATATAATCTTCCCATGCCCGCCCCCACAGCATATTATGGATTAGCATCCTTAAATCAGAGAAATTATTTGGCAATTGTTTTTGGGGGGGGCATTGGCTAATTTCACTTAGCATTATATTCTCCAGCTCCATCCATTTACCTGCAAATGCCATGATTTTATTCTCTTTTAATGCTGAATTGCATTCCATGGTGTATATATACCAAATTGTCTTTATCCATTCATCTACTTAAGGGCATCTAGGTTGTTCCACAGTTTAGCTATTGTTAATTGTTCTGCTATAGCATTGATAAACATCGAAGTGGGTATGTCCCTATGTTATGCTGTTTCTAAGTCTTTTGGGTATAGACTGAGGAATGGGATAGCTGGGTCAGTTTTCCAAGGATTCAAATAGGTGAATTTTATAGCATGTAAATTTTATTTTCATAAGGGCATTGTGGGGAAAAAAAGATTGCTACATAAGGGCGTTGTTAAGATAGAAATCATGTTAACTTACGCATTAATGGCATAGGTAAATTTGACTGTGACTTATGGTATGCAGAAGAAAGAAGCAACGTGTGTGTGGGGGTATATGGGTGTGTGTGTGTGTGGTGATGATGGAAATTTTTTTGTGTGTGTTGACTGTGAATTAATGAAGAATATTGAAGATACATTAGACCTTGAATAAGGAATGAGGATCATAAAGGAAATGAAAGAGAAGCTTATGATACGGAAAAGAAAGACTTGAAATCAAAAGTCAGAAGGGAAAAATTAATAGTTTTATTAGACAAGGAATTTATAAAATGTAAATTTCCCAATGATTTTAATGTTCTGTTTATACTATAGAAGATTTATTTTATACTTAAATTATTCTCTGAATGGGTTATGACTGTGAAACTGTGTGAAGAAGGTATGAAAATGTAGATGGTGACTAAATTATTGAATTCTCTGAATGATACTGTTTGTTGTCCTTATAGTGGACTCTGAAAGTCATTAGAATTTTCTGAGGAGTAAGAAAATTATAGATATTATGCCTAAATCAACACCTAGAAATTATTTAGAATTTTGATTAAAAAGCAAATCTATTCATACAAATTAACTCATCTTCCTTCTATCACACGTATCCTCTGCCTTACATGTTGTTACTCTTAACAGACTTTTTAATTATACTTTATGATATTCATTTTTTGTGGAGAAGTAGAAGCAAAATATTCTTAGGAATGAGTTCTTGAAAGATTTAGTGGAAAGGAAGTAGAGGCTAGAAACCATCTCTTTGGAGAAGCCTTTTTCCTTAAATAGAGCAGAGAAATGGATCTTTGTGCAGAATCAAGAATCTTTCTCAAAGGTTTGGGAAATTAGTATGCAATAGTCTACCCTTATATTCTTTGGGGATACATTCTAAAACCATAAAAAGAACTGAAACTGATACAGATACTTCTAAATTTATACTGAAATTAATAAATCATTAAGTAAAACATTTTTAAGTCAGAATTCTTTAATACTGTGATAACCCATCATAAATTCAAAATATTTCTTCTCTTCCTCTCCTCTCTCTTCCTTTGAATTTTATTCCTGCCAATTACTCACTAACTACTGCATTCTACCTGTAGTGACCTTGTTTTTCCTCAAGCTTCCTAGAATAGAATATATCTACCTCAGGATCTTTGAAATCATACTTCTCCTACCTAGAATATTTTCTGAGAAATATCAAAATGTTTCATTCTTTTTATTTCTTCCTTCAAGTTTTGCTCACATGACATTGTGGTTTTCCTGTACCACAGCCCCTAACATAATATGTACTCAATGTCCTGCCTTATTTCCTTGACCGAACATAGCACATTCTGATATTATATTAATTTGTTTTTATTTGTTTTTTTAGGTATACATGAGAATAGAATCCATTTTGATAAAATTATATAAGCATGAACTATATCTTATTCTAATTAGGTCGCCATTCTTGCGGGTGAGCTTGATGGTGGAATTCACCTAGGTATTTTTATATATGTACATGGGAAAATTATGTCCGATTCATTCTACTCTCTTTCCCATTCTTATCCCCCCTCCTTTCCCTTCATTACCCTTTTTCTAATATACTGAATTTCTTTTTTCTTCTTCCCTCCCCCTTTATTGTGGTTTAGCTTCCTCATAACAGCAAAAACCCTTGACCTTTGGTGTTTTGGGGACTGGCTTATTTCACTTAGCATGTTAGTCTCCTTCTTCCCTCCCCCTTTATTGTGGTTTAGCTTCCTCATAACAGCAAAAACACTTGACCTTTGGTGTTTTGGGGACTGGCTTATTTCACTTAGCATGTTAGTCTCCTTCTTCCCTCCCCCTTTATTGTGGTTTAGCTTCCTCATAACAGCAAAAACACTTGACCTTTGGTGTTTTGGGGACTGGCTTATTTCACTTAGCATGTTGGTCTCCAGATGCATGCATAATCATATGATATTTATTTATTTCCCTGTTTTTTTTCCTCCCATCACAAGAATATTAACTCCCATCTGTTTTGTTTTATTTCTTTGTTTGTTGTCTGTTTTGTTTGCTGCTATATTTTTCATCAAAAGAAAGTAATGAATGTATAGGAAGCTCTCTAAAAACATGCCTTGAATGAATGGATGACTGAGCACTTAAAATTTGGAGCTAGCTTTTACCTAATGAGATTCACAGAGTTGATCAAGATTTTAAAAAAAAAAACTAATTGAAAGTTTATAGTGCATAACTTTGTGGAAACCCTCTGTGGATATTTCACAGATGGACAGAAATGTAGCTTTAAAATTCACTAGAAATGAGTAAAAGAGTAGTGACTCACTGTTATGGGTTTGCCTGGAGGTGATCACTGAAGCCCTAGGTAAGTGTGCACTTGCCCAAGCTGGCTACTGAGGCAGAGGAAAGATGAGTTGGCACTGGATCCAAGGCCAACTTTAAATCTCTTGCTTTCTCTTCTAGTTACTTGTTTGTTTTTTGTCTACCATCCTCCCAAAAAAAATGGTGTAAAAAGTCTCAATGAACATTAAGTTATTGATGACCAATTGACAGGAAAGAAAAATTAAAAACCTTAATTTTTATGTAAAAAAAAAGCCTTGATATTTGGACATCTGGGATTTTTTGGTAAACAACGTATATTCTCCAATTTCATAAAGATGGCATAGAATGACTTTGAAAAAATGTTATTTGTTACAGTACTTTTGCCTAGTTGTAACATTTAACAACATTCTCCTCCTCTCTGAGAATGAATTGCGTGTTCTAAGGTTATCTTCCATGTCCCAAGACTTTTCAACCATTTTTATATCAGATGAACTTAGAATGGGTTGACACAAAAAGTATCTGTCTGTGTGGGAATGAAGCTGGCCACACAAAGGATGACAGTGTGAGTGGAGGGATTCCTGGGCGAGTGAGTAAAGGCAAGAGGGAACCTTTCGGGTTACAAATAGCATCATCGGTACTCCTGAAGTGGATAAATGGAAAAAAAAGCTCCTAAATTATGGTGGAGTTAGTAAAATGATTTTTGATGAAATAATTTTAGACAATTAAAATAGTTAAATAAATAGTCTTGACTATTTTCTAAAATAAATCACTATTTGCCATAGAACACTAGAAATCCTGAAGGTCTGAAAGGAATTACTAAGGCAACCTAGTTTTATCTGCAACATCATGCAGGTCTATGAATACACACTATGCTTTTCTTAGCTTCTATTTAATGACGTGAAAAAAAATTCCTGGGTGAATTGTTTTATTTAAATAACTATGTTACATAAGAGATGCTATAATGATTTCTAATTGACTCCCTATTTTGTATTATTTTCTACTGCCACATACTATAAATTACAAACACTATAAGTCGTGGGTGAATTAATTGTAATTGTGCATCCTTTATTAAGAGTATACAATGAAAGAACAGAAAATTTATCTATAATTTCATGGTTTATTATCCATTAGTTATCTTCATTGTGGTAAGTGCTTCATTCATATTAACTTTATTAAATATATAAATATACTAGTCTTCTCTCAAACCTCTCAAACCTCTTGGAATTAAAATATATTTATGAGACTAATGTTGGTTTGTCACAAAAATATTTATGATATCATATTTTTTAAAGAGAGAGAGAAAGAATTTTTTAGTATTTATTTTTTTAGTTTTTGGTGGACACAACATCTTTATTTTATTTAATGTGGTGCTGAGGATCGAACCCAGCATCCCATATGCATGCCAGGCGAGTGCGCTACCACTTGAGCCACATCCCCAGCCCCTGACATCATCTTTTAAAATCTATTATGAAGAGTAAAACCCAACCTTGTGAGATATATTTCTATTCAGTGTTTATCAAACCTGAAATTACATACATGGGTGATGAGAATACTTCATCTTCCCAACTCTTTTTCCACAATGTTTTCAATATATCTATAATAGGATATTTACATACTGACCAAAAATATCTACATTAGAAATTACCTTTCATGCATAAAATATCATCGATTCAAAGAATTTTCATTGCAATTGAAAAATGCCTAATTTTCCAAATTTTTCAATGAATTTTATTTCCGTTTTAGCTCTTTTATTTCTCTTTCCCTTTTAGGAGCTGGAATTTTCAAATTTATTTGCTGTTCTTCACTGCATTCATTCATTCTTTGCTGCCAAAGTAGCTTGTTTGGACCCTCTATTTTTAGGCAATCAGGCTACTGCTTCTGCTGCTGCCAGCTCTGCTACTACAAGCAAAGCAAAGTACACAACTTGACATACTGATTTCCGAACTGACAGTTACCCCAACTAGATAAACAGACTAAACATATTCATCATTTTACTCCCTGGAGAAACCATGATATCACCAAGTCAACAATGGAATCAGATTGAAGTTTCAGCAGAAAAAAAAGATGGTCATGACTCATCTCAAATGCATTTCTATTCTGGAAGGCATCTGTAAATAATCCTAGATGAACAAGACAGCCTGTTCTCACTTGGTTGATGTGTATCCACATACTGCTTTCACCAAATGTGAAGATCAAGAAATGAATGGTATGAAGATGTATGTAAATAATATAAAAAAGTTGTAAGCTACCTATAAATAAAAATAATAATTAAATGGTTATTTCTGTATTTTAGATTATTTTGTATGACAAATACATATTGGGCCAGATCATGAACCCCTGCCCTGTCATTGTATTATGAGTGTAAAGAGGCTAAAAAACAAAAATGACAGCAAGGAGCATGCAAAAAAAAAATCATCAAAAGAGAGAAGCACTTTAATTTGCTAATGTAAATTTCTCCTTGTGTTCTTACTCCATGATTCTGCACTGGCACTCTGACTTTCTTTATCTTGTTGTAAAATATCCTCAAGAACTGCATAATGATAATTACATTGACCTATGACAGGCACAATGTGAAATGAACTGTGTCTCCCTCGAATCAATGTTATTGAAAATGTTTTATAAATTTGCCAGTATCCACCAAATATGCCAAAATGTATTAATTTGATTATGTATGATGGAAACATTTGTGAATCTCTTTGTTCGTTCCTTCATTTTAAACAGATTTATATTTTACCTAAGGAGATTTATTATCAAATTACAGTTTCATAAATTTTCAGTGACCCTAAGAACTTTTGTAGAGAAAATAAATATCAACAAATATGATGTAAGAGAAATTCTTTGTAACCCTGACTCTACCAATCATGGACTGAAAAAATCCTTACAAAGCAGTCTCAAAGCTATTAACTATGTTAGCTATCCAAGAGTTTTCCATTGGAGCAATATTTTATGAGAACATATGGTGAGATTGGCAATTAAATTTAAAATTTATATCTATGTCATGAAATTACGCAGGTTATTTTGGTTGTCTTGTTTTAGAATTTTAAAAGTGCAGAGCTGAAAATTTGAAAGCATTGGAGGTACACACCCACAACTCAGAGTCCAGTTGTGGAAAGTGAAAAACACCCTCTGTCCTTTATTATAGTTTTATTGACGTCTGCTTTTAAACTAGAAGCTGCTTATTTCATAGTTAAAAAATAAATTTTTAATTAACACACCTTTACCCTATGAAACACTTAATGTTTCCTCTCAAAATTACCAAGCATCTAAAATATGGTTTATTTTTTTTTATTTTTTTAAATATGAGAAAATGTGTCACTCAGGAAAGAGACAAAAAATTGTTTAAAGGACAAACATCCATTGAATTAAAAAAAGACATCAACCTGTTTTCAGTGTCATTAGAAATTTATTAACTTTATATCTGATAATTCTTAAATATATTAAATGGAAAAGAAAAAGTGAAGGTGGATAGTTGGACCTGAGAAAATGTTGTTAGATCTAAGATACTTTATCAAAAGAACTGTGATAAATATAATAATGTCTTAATATAATTTATTTTTACCATAAAACTGAATTAATATCTACAAGGAGGATAGCACATTGGATTTACTGCTCATATATTGATCAAATACAATAGTTATAATAAAATTTGAAGCCCCGGGAAAGTAGAGAGAAGTGTCCACCTTCAGTTTCTAAGCAGTGGCAGATGGCTCACAATAGAACTTCTGCTACTAACTAGAATTAAATTGCAATATGCCTCATATTGAGGAGACCCCAGTGTGCCCACAGCAGGAAGAGCAGGTATTGATGCCACAGGAAATGCGCTGGTCATCTATAAAGAAAAATAAGAAAAACAAACTTTTAAACTTTACATGAGTTATAGAATAAGTAAGAATCATTTCAAATTTTTATAAAAATCCCATTTTAAAATGCAAAAAAAAAAAAAATAATATCCTTTGTTGTGTCAGGAAAATCTATCTCATGCTCATATAGATGATGATAGGCAAGTTGTACACTGAAATATATAGGAGCTTTGTCTTTGTCCACCATTAGCACACATGCACACACATATATCTGTGTATGTGTGTGTGCATATGTATACGTATATATGAGAAAAAAATCTGATCACAAATTGAAAGTATATTTTTAGTATATGTTGACTTATTATGCTTTAAGTCACATTGTAAATTATAGATCAAATTAAAATTTATTCCATTATCTTTATTGTTGTTAGTTTTGATACTATTAATTTAAAAAAAAACAGGCCTAAATTGCCATTTAATATGACTAATCATGAAATAGCCACCAATAAGAAAATACTATTCTGATTTTCATTAATTTGGCAACTGGTATTTCATGTTTTATTTTCAGCGTGATTAACTATTGTTATTTGTTATGACTTGGACAACTTGAATGAGAAAGCTGAGCGAAAATACAAATTTCTATTTCTCATGAAATTTAGGCTTAGATGCATGAGATTCATTCATAACATCCTGGTTTGTACATTGGTCAAATTTTAACAATAGAAGGCTTCATTATGTGTTAACCCCTCCAGTGCCTTGGTATGTGTAGGTATGTTTGTGTGTGCACGTGTGTTATGGGCTCGAGTGTGGGTATGTGCGTGTTCAGGGTAATCTTTAAATGGTTCATTGCAGTGTACGTAGTACGAGCTTAAAAGAGACTATTACAGGTGCATAGGTCAAAGAAGGGAGTTCAAAATCATTTGAAAATCGTTAACTAAAGTAATAATGTCTTATGCTTGATGAAAAATAACAAATCAAATCATTAAATCAGGTATGCTTTAAATTTGTTATATTGCAACAAGTATTTATTTTAAAATATTTTAACAGATAATATAAACGTAAGGTATTCCCCAATACTTGCCACAATGTTTTTTTCCATCCAACCTTAGATTTAAAGGGAGAACATTCAGCTAGGCATTTCTTCCCCATATTTCAGGCATGTGCCAACTTCTTGTTTTAAAATCTTCACTCATAAAAACTGTCATTCATCAAGACAAAACTCATTTCCTTGGCAACAAAGGCCAGGTCCATATTAGCAAGCAGAGCAATTTTCCTTTGGGTGCATTAGTTTATGGATCCACATTTCTCTCATTTACAGTGACAAAGCTTGTTCATAAACTTTGTCTCTGTTGAATGCTGGATGTAAGGGAAGCTTGATTTATTACTGAGGAAAAGTAATAATCCTAACAATAATTTAGAATTACTGCTAGAAATCAGCAGTGTGTGAGAAGCTTTAAAAGCACAAGGACAATCTTGTGCTTAACTTTTTAAGGTAAGTGTCGATGTTCCAGTATTGAGAATAAACATTTTTGCTACTATTAATAATGCTGTATTCCATGAGCTCTCCTTAAGGAATCGCTTTATCCATACCTCTAAAATTGATGTTTATGATTTATTCTTATGACCTACTACTTTAAAATCATCATGTCACTTCTTTGCACATTATAATTTACTTTTAAAGATAAATAAAATATTATAAATATTATATATTTTATACATATTAAAATGCAATGGAAATATCAGAAATACAAAATGTAAATATATTTATTTCATTTTTAATTGTTTTGGTGGATGTTTGTAAAATGTAAATTAATATCTGTGACAAAAACTTGTCACTTCATTCTTTCAGTTAATTAATGTACTACTAATAAAACTGTACCTTTTTTAATGAAGTATATGGGAAAATAAACACAAATTTTTTTACTACCTTTTTGTGTTTTTACTTCTTTGGGTTTGAGTCTTAAGTTGATGCATGTTTAACCCACGATCCTGAGAGACTTAACTGCAATAAAAGAGGAAAGAGATGACCTGTCTATGAAAAAAGTGCACACCATTTGAACATAATCTGTTCAGGTTCATCAATATTTATGAAGGCTTGATATCTGACCTTTAAAAGACACCAAAGATTGAAGAAAGATGCTATTTGCCAAATTACTTAAACAACCTAGGAGTTATGATTTTGAAAGCATGACAACTTTGATATCCTTATAATGGTCCATTAGAAGCTGAATCTATATTGCGGGGACTGAGCTGAGAGGACATTATTATCTTGTCATTAGTAATTGAGAAGTAGTTCATCACTTTATACCCTACAAGACCACAATTGTCTTTCAGGTCATTGCAGTGTCATGGTGCTCTTAGAAAACATTTTTAGAACAATTCTGATATCTATATCATTCTTACTAAATGAACATTTTAACCTTCTCTCGCTTTTGTTGAAGTTTTTCATTTTAAAAAATAAAACAAAAACAAACCTCAATTAAAAAAAGAGTACATCACCATCATAGGTAATGTAAATGATTAAAAATAATCTAAAATGAGAGCTATCATCCTAGAGTTCAGGAGTCTGAGGCAAGAGGATTGCAAGTTTGAGATCAGTCTCAATAACATAGCAGGGCCCTAAGCAACTTAGCAAGACCCTGCCTCAAAGTAAAAATTAAAGAGGACTGGGGATATAGCTCAGAGGTTAAGCACTCATGGGTTCAATCCCTGGTACCCCAAAAGAGATATCATATTAAATTTCACTATTAACAACTTATTTTAGTTGAATGTTGTTCTATAAATATCTTTGTTTATGTAGATACAAAAAATTATAAGTTGATGTACAAATAGGCAGATAATAATACTTAAGCTAAAGTTGTAGAGTATTTGCCAAGCAACTGAATGATTATGAAATCATAGGTTCAAACTCCAGCAGGACACAAAAATTCTTAAAAAGGGCTGGGGTTGTGGCTCAGTGGTAAAGCTCTTTCCTAGCCTGCTTGAGGCACTGAGTTCATACTCAACATCACATAAAAATAAAAAAGAATAAAATAAAGGCATTGTGTCTATCTACAACTAAAACATATATTTAAAAAATTTAAAAGTACTTTAATAAATATGTAATTTAAAATAAATAAACAGGAAAATATATGAACAATATTAACAAAAAGTTGATAAAATTTAAATTGAGTAATGACTATAAAATATTTCTAACAGAATTTATACTATTTGAAAGAGCTACTTATTACTAAAATGGGGAATTATGTATATATTATTTATAAAAGATCATGGTTTATATTCTGAATATTTGGAAAAGCTTACATAAAAATGATAAATTTTGGATACAAAAGAAATTACCTGCTTTAGAATACAATTCTGTGAATTTTGACAAATAAATGATTGTGGATCACCACCAAGATCAAGAGTTAGAAAATTTACCCTCACCTATAAATAACACAGTGTTACTTTGCATACAACACCTTTTCTTACCCCAATCCCTGTTGACTACTGATCCATTTTTCCTTCTCTGTTCCCATAGTTCCCTTTTTCCCTTTCCAAATTACACACACACAGTTGTCATCCTTTGAGATTAGCTTGTTTCACTTAGTGGAAATTTTGGAGATGCACTCACAGTGTTTATGACTGTTTTTCCCAGTACATTACTGGGAAGCACTGTATTGAATGGATGTGCTTCGGTTTACCCATTCT